CACTAGGTGGCAGGCTTCCCCGGGGCCAGACCGGGCGGGGCTGGACCGCCCAAAGCTTTTGGACCCTCCTTCCCCAGACTGAAGTAGCCAAGGAAAGGGGTTCAGGGGAGGGGGGGGACTAAGGTAGAGAGCCAAAGGGGTGGGGGGCTCAGGGGTGGCGAAGACTGAGGCTGCCGGCAGAGGAGACTCATTGAAGTAAAGAAAATAGAAAACTTTATTGGTTTGGAGTGTTGGTAGGCGAGCCCCCAGGAGCAGCTTTTCCAAGACACGGGTGTTGGCAGGGAAGGCAGTTCAGGCTGCTGGGCCTCCCCTTTCAGGGGCCTGGGCATCCACCTCCGTGGCACAGAGGTCAGCGCGGCCTGAGGGACACCCACGCGGGGAGTGTGGCTGCAGCTTGGGGGAAGCGCCGGAGGAGGATGCCTGGCTCTGCTGCTCCACTTGGGCCAGCCACTCCCCCAGCCTGGCCTCAGTCTCCTCATCTGAACGACAGGCATCCTGCGGGCTCCTTTCCAGGGTCGCCATGCGGATCTGTGCAAATGCCCGCAGCCCTGGGCACTGAGGGCCTCAGTAGAGCCATAGTTGACGTGATAGGCTGAATTGTGTCCCCCACACCCCAATTCATTATAACAAAGTCGTAACCCCAGGACCTCAGAGGGTGGCTGCAGTTGGAGAAGGGTCTTTACAGAGGTGATTAAGTTAACATGCAGTCACTAGGGTGGCCCTAGTCCCAAATGACTGGTCCTTAGATGAGATTGGGGCACAGACACGCACAGAAGTCAGCCATCTCAACCCAAGGAGCGAGGCCTGAGAAGAAACCAACCCTGCTGACCCCTCGGTCTTGGACTTCTGGCTTCCAGAGCTGGAAGAAATCACCCTCGATGGTTATAGTCGCCTGGTCTGAGGCACTTTGTTCCAGCAGCCCTGGTGGACCGCCGCGGGAGATGACACGCCTCCGGGGCACCCAGGGTCTCCTGTGTGCAGTGAGTGATCCCTTGGGGACACTCCGCCCCGCGTCCTGGTCCTGGCTAAGGGCACAGTTCTGGGCTGGGCAGGGTTGCTCCAGTCCTGGCTCTGCCAGCTCAATGCTGTGTGGCTTTGATCAAAGCTCTTCACCCTTCTGAGCCTCGGCCTGCTCCTTGGTGAGAGGGTTCGTCACCTCCCACTGCTGTTTCCGGTTGAAGCAGCTGATGCAGGTAAGTGACCCAGCTCATGGCTGCGCTCGGGGCAGTCATTATAACCATGAGTACGGCCCTGGGACCAGGCAACCCCAAGCAGAGAAGGAAGAAAAGAGGACTTTCCGGAGAACAGAGGTGGTGATTCCCAGCAGGCTGGTGGGTCACGGGGCTGGTGGGTTGACCAGCTGTCCACACTCTCCCCAGACCCCGGGGCAGAGCCTGGGCCTGTGGCTGGTGAGAGATGGCCATTCCCAGCTGGAGCCGGGTGACGGGCTGTGTCAGGCTGTGGGGTGAGGGACGCCCTAGATGCCCTGGCCCCGCCCTATCGGGCCAGTTTCCGGAGCTCATCCCAGAAGAGCATGCTGAGGATGGTGTGGGGGCCCAGGCGCAGGTAGGCGGGGCCCAGACCCTTATAGAGCGCCGGGGGTCCCTCCTGCCGCCAGATCTTCACCAGGCAGTCGGCCAGGCCCCGGTACAGCCGGCCCTGGGGACAGGCACAGGGTGGGTGTCGCTACAGGGGCCGTGGGGCCCGGCCGGCACACCAGAGCACGTCTGTGTGTAAGGGCTTCTGCGGCACCTCAGAAAAGGCACCCCCCAACCCAGGGAAATTACAGAAGGAAGGACCTTTACGTGGCAACAATTTAAAAGGAGTCTCTTCCTTCAGGCAGCCCCAGCCCCAGCCCCAGCCCCAGCCAGGGGCTCAGTTTGGCTAGTGGCACACAGGTGGGTTTCATCCCTAACTCAGCCTGGAGAGGGCACCAGCGTACACGACGGCGGGCACCTGTCTGTGAGGCCGTGGGGTCAGGCCTGGATTCCAGTGCAGGGTCCTCCACACATAACAGCTGGGTGACCTCAGGCAAGTCACTTGATATCTCTGAGCCTCAGTTTCCTCATCAGGAAAATGAAGGTGGGTGTGAGGATGGAATAAATCCCAGATGTGAGACTGCTTAGCACGTGCCTGGGTCATAGGTGCTCTGCACACAAGCCGAATGAATGCGTTTGCATGTATGTCACATGCCTGTATGTCTCGGCTGTGTGTGTGTGTGTGTGTGTGTGTGTTGGGGCGGGCGCTCTCCAGCTCCCCACATCCTCGCCACCTGGTCCCCTGCTCACCCTTCCAGCTCCATCCACGGGCTGATTGTACAGCCGAGTGCTGACCACGTCGAAGGGGGTCATGACTGCCACCACGGCCACACTGCTGATCATGCCTCCGGCCAGGGCCACCAGCCAGCTGTCCTCCGGGAGCCACTGTGGGGATGGCACAGGCTGCTGACACCTGCCGCTGCCCCCACCAGCCTCCCTCCACCTGGGAGAAGGGAGAAGACAGGGCCCCTCCAGCCACCCCCCACCCACATCTCCCCCACAAGGTCCTTCACACCTTCAGGGTTCACTGCTGGCCCCCCATTC